CCTCGCCTCAGACCTTCTGTAGATCTGTCTGCTGTGCCTTTGCTAGTGTCAACACTTCTGCCAGCTCTTTACTCAACCTGCCAGCTCCTTGTTTCTCTTTCTCTCCTGGGAAAACTTACTCTTGAACACAGCTGAATTCTTAGCTTTCAGTTCAATCTGTTAGGCGGTGTCTTACCAATAATAATTTGCTTGTCTTTATAGAAGATAACTGACACACACAGGGGTCCCTCTATACTTGTTCATGGTTCTACTCAACTCTATTACCCTCTCATGTTTATGTTTTCATCCCGATTTTCCAGTTTATAGTCTCCATTTGTATTGTTAATACTATGCAGTGTGTAACTAGAATTATCAGGGAAACAGATGAAAAACGAAACCTACTTGGGTATCTTTTCTGTAGTACGTTTGTGTCTTATCCAGGACTTTTAAGAGATAATGATAAACTTCCTTCAGAGTGACTCTTCAGAACTGTGCAAGGTCTGCAGTAGCTCAGTGAACACATGCTTGTATGGATTTGTTAGTGTGTATTTAGGAAGATAGGGATAGGAAAATGGAATTTAACTGGAAAAAAAATGAGAAATCCTATTTTTGAAAAGGAAAGCAATTAAGTGGAGCGTAGGTGATTGGATGAACTGACTGTTTTCCCACTACCATTCCCAGTGGGACAGCCACCTTTGCTGGCAGTGCTAGATGCTTTTTTTGTAGATGTATAATATGCTGTATGTACCCACTTTATTGTGTTTGGTACTATCATGTGTTACCTACTACAGAATCCAGTTTTTCTGTTTGCCTAACCCTCCTGCCCATTCCGCAAGTGAACCACTTGTAACGTGTGAGAGAAGGCCTGTAAATAGTGACTTATGTAAGGACTTTGCTTCCCACTCCACAGCTCATCTCCCCTCCCTACTCCAAAGCTTGTTAATTAGGGCAGCTGCTTTGGCAGTGGATTAGTTGCTCTTGGTAAGTCTGTGGAGTTAAACCTCAGGCAGCATCCTTCTCCACCTCATTACCCTGCCACTGTGCTCTGTCCATGAAAACAAACAAATCTGCAGAGTTACTTAGGGATCAGTGGAACAAAGGAGCTATTTAGTCTTCTGGCATATTGGTCTCTTTAAGAAAAGAAGAGAAAGTGAGCACAGCATAATGGACCTACAAAAGCAAGAGCTTTATTTACAGAAATAAACAATCTCTGTTAATTGTATGGGGTTGACTGCAGATAACGTGATGATGAATCATCATCAGCTTGAAAGCGAACATCACTAATGTTTCTGGCATATAGCATAAGAAAATAGAGAATAGTATAGAAAATGAGCTGATTTAAAATGATTACCATATGCTTACCGTCAGGGCAATTGAAAATTCTCCCCATCTGTTCTCTCCTCCAAGCTGCATTGGAAACACCACCACCCAAATTCACTGGAAGGCAGGGATGAAACAACATTTAACATTTTGAACTTATGGTTTGGTGATGACGTGTGATAACTCTACATACACCTTAGGAATCCTAACTATTTGAACATAAGGAGCGGAGGTGATTAATCAGGAGTACCTATGAGGATGCTGCATTTTACCTCTTTCTATGTTTTGCTCACACGTATGCTTGGAGTGGTGGTATCTTGCTGGCTTTTTCCCCACATTCTTTTAGTTTAATTGTATCTTTTTTTTTCAGGACTTCAATCTAGTATCCTGTGATCAGAAAAAATGATTTGTGAAGAACAGGCAACTGATATAAAAAGGGTGAAAATGTTAAAAGAAAATCTAGTTTTTAGTAATGTGTGGATTCCATTTTATAATGAATTTTATTTTTTTTTAATCGCCTACCTCTGGAGTTTCTTCTACGTTGATCCTTGTTGAAATCCATCACTGAAACTGTTCTGTAGTGTTCATTTCAGTCTCTGGTGCTGAACTGTAGTGTTAATACTGTGAGGAGGACAGCTTTCAGCTGGTCATAACCTGAGCCATAGTTCAGGAGGAAGCCAGCTGCATCAGCAGAGCAGTCAACAATCTTTTCTTGAAAATGAAAGTAGGCGTGTTTTGCCACTTGTTCCTGGCCAAATGAGTTCCTTTCCAGAGCAATATTGCTGGGAGAGATTGGATCTTCAGCTTTTGACGAATAGTGCCTAATGGAGTTCAGTAGGAGAAGGCTATGCTCATTGCACTTTCAGACTGGTACAATGGGGTCCTGTCAACAGGGTAAAAAAAACCCAACATTTGGGGAAAAAGTACCCTGATAATGGGATCCATTGCCTGTATCTACCTGAGCAAGAAGTGCAGCATGATAAAAGGAGATCTGTAGAGTGCTGAGGACCCAACTTTCATGCTGTGTTTGTCTGCTTTGGGTTTTTACTTTACAGCAGCAGCTTGGTCCTTTGAGCCGAAAGCCCTTTTTTATTAAGATGCATCTTCTGCTTTAATTTTCCTCTAAAAGGAATCCAGTTCAGTGTATCTCAGTCACTTTTTGACAAGCTGATTCTGTGCTCTTAGTCTATGCTTTATGAAAGACAGCTGGTTCCCAAACTAGCCAATTTTGCCTTGGGGTATAAAATGCTGTGTAGCTAAACATTTTGTCTGTTAGGAGGTCCAGGTAGGAAATATATCTGGCTTATTGATGAAACATGGAGGTCAAAAAAAAGAGGAGAAATTAGCAAATGGAGTTCTGGAGTCTTCATTTCTGCAGCTACTCTTTGGATCGTTAAAAATTTCTTGCAGTGTCGTAATCAAACTGTTCGATAATAAGTTCATGCACCTTACAGCTTAACAAGATTTATGAACCACAGACTTGAGAACGACTGTGTAGAACTGTTCTCTTTATGTGCATGAAATAGTCATTTGTCTGCAAACATCTGCAAGGATTTAAATGATAGCTGTATTGTAATTTACACATTTACTAGACTTTTTTTCATTAATATATGGAGTGTTGCAGGATTAGAAGTGCTGCTGTTGCTGTTTGTTGATCATTCTACTTCAAGCTGTTCAGTGCAAGACTTCGTGAAATTAAGATACTTTCTACTGCTGTTGCTGAACACAAGGATTACTAGGAATGTTCGTGATTTTGCATCATAGAAAGACTGAAAGGTTAATAAACAATCACATCCAGATTCTCTTCAATTTCACCAACTATTATGTATGTTAAATGAAATACCAAATGTATGTTAGGAAATTAAAAGCTTTAGAAGCATTTTTTTCATTTTGTAATTGTACAAATGCATGTATGTGTGAAATGAGTTCTCTGTAGACTTGAGACTAGTAATAGCTGAAATTTAGACTTTGTTAGTTCTTTGCTTTGCATAACTGATGCTTGTAAAGCTTGGAAGTGCTTGCCAGAAAATGCCGAGTTCTCATGGCACATAGAAACCTTAACTCTCATCTAAAATAATTTGTGTTGTGTGGCTGTAGTGACAATACTGGGAGGTCCTTCCGTGAAGGATTTGTTTCCAGTCCGTGGATGACCAGTCTGTGAGGTTAAGTTATATCTTGTTTAATTGACTGCACCACCTGATCTCAGGGTAGTAGTCAGTAAGATGTGTCAGACTGGTAATTCACAGAAGTGGACAGAACATGGCTGTGGGTTGTCTTTTGTCAGTGCACTTCACCTTAATTTCAGAACATACGCCCTGCTGTCTTTTCATCCTGTTACGTAAATTCTCTCTTCTTACACTTGGCCTTCAGGACAAGTTCGTGGCTATTGCACGTCTTCTGTGCTGACGTGATGCCATTGAGTAGACGTACATTCGCCTGAAAAATGATCGCATAAAGGTTAATTACAGGAAAAAGGAAGTAATCCATTTGAGATATAGCAGTGTCCCAGACTTCATCCTTTTCTAAAATAATCTGTGCCTTATTTATGTAGTAGATTAATCACTACTTCTTTGCCTTTGTGATAATGAAGGTAATCCTTTTTATCTGCTTTTCTGAGAGACTGTTCTACTTCTCTTGAAGGACTTGGCATGATTCAGAATCATCACTAATGTTAACACTTTGGAAATACAAGTGAAGGATATGAATGTATTCTACTCCTGTAGAGCTGCCAGGAGCATGTCATATTGTGTTTGATGCCCATCTTGAGTCGTACTGGTCTGGAATCAAATCCGCCACAGGGAGTTCAATTTCACAAAGCAGCATCTGCATTTATGAGAATATGGACAACGTGAATTCTTAGGAACAAATTTCTAGGGACTGGAACAAAGAGATCTGGGGTTGAGAATTCTACACTACAGAGAGATTCTCTCTCAGCTGAGAATATCAAAAGGAGTTTGGTTGTTTTTCTGAGCGCTTTGGAAAAAAAAAATAGACCAAATAGTTCTCAGCTCTGTTGTAGGGAAAAAAAAAAGGGAAAGCATTGAATGTACTCTTGTTGAACTACTTTTTTAATATAAAAGGAATGTTAGCATATTTGACAATATTTGAGCTGGTTTTAACAAAATGTTATCTGTACAGCAGATAAATTATGCAGTTGCACATATGAAATGTTGATAGCATATATATCAATGAAATATTTCAGCCTGATTTAAACTTCAAGGCAGTGATACCTCAAGTTATGTTACAGGGTTGGATTGCTGTGGTTGACTTAGAAATAGTGGGAAAATATGATGTTTTATTGTAATGTTTTGTAGATACGTACTTTTATGTGAGCAATGATAATAATACATAGTTTTAAGGGGGTATACGAGTGCGCACATGCATGCACACACAGACGGCTCAGTTAACTCAATTTAAAACAAACAAACAAAAAAAAACCACAAAAAACCGAACAAAACCCCCTCCCTTGAATTTCCTCAGGCATTCCTTATTACTAGTGCTTTATTTTTCTGTAGACATCTGCAGAGCTATTGAGCTGCTGGAAAAATTACAGAGAAGTGGAGAAGTGCCACCACAAAAGCTACAGGCTTTGCAAAGGGTCCTTCAAAGTGAATTCTGTAATGCTGTAAGGGAGGTAAGTTAACTTGATGTAAGCAGTTACCTTGAGTTAAAAACCAGTATGCTTTACTCTTTCCTCTTTGTGTTCAGTACAAAAATCTGATTTTGTTCTTTCTAAAAGCTGAATTTGACTTCCAGAGCATAATAGAACAAGACTTATTTTTAAAAGTTCAAAAGAAAATAAATTGGGATAGCAGAAGTGTTTTAAATAATGGCTCAGGAGCAAGTCACTTTTTAGAAGTTATTTTGAGAGTCTGTCCTTACTGGCAGCTAGCCGGCTGTTATCCTCTTGGAATGTAAGAATGGACAAAGTACCAATTGCCTGTTTCTTTTAAGCCAAATCCATGCCCCCTTGCCATCACCTTGAGATGGAACCATTTACCACCTCATCTTCATTCCACATACTCCTTCAGAGATTTTTAGGTCATTGAATATGCTCTGCTATTGCTGTTGGTGCTACCACTGATGCTAACACCTGAATGATTTAGAAGATCTGTTTGTAGACACAGGTGTCATCTTAATGTTTTTATCCTATGGAGGACAGTGTGTTTATTGCTTAGTAAGTCCAAATGATTGGCAGGTAAATTTGAGGATGTGGGTTAACCCTCGGTGTAAGCACCTCCTTAGCATTAGTATTCTTACTGCCTCTGTGGTTTTGATACCATTTATTTCTTAAGGTACTCAGTTGCATCAGTTGAAGGAAAATATGGGGTTTTGGGGAGAGGGCAGGGTTGTTGGAGGAGCTTTGAAAAGCTGTCCTTAAGTGATTTTTGCATGCATCCTTACTGAAGATTTCCAGCTTGAATCAAACAAGAGAAGGTCATCCATGTCTCCAGTTGGGTGTGTTAGACTCGCCAGGAGCATTTCTAAATTCACGATGAGGTCTTGAATGCTGCAGAAGAAGGGAACATTTAGATTGAGACATAGATATGCATGGATCAGCTGAGCAATAAAGATGCTGAGAGAGTGGTTTCTTCAAGTAGCTTGTCAGTTGACACCTTGTAGTGAATTGAGGAGTAATGTCTTTTTAATACATACATTTTTGAGTTGTACCTGATATTTTGTTATATTATCTAAGCAGAAAAATACCTGTTTTCTCCATACTTAAACTGTTTTGTCTCTAAAGGTGTATGAACACGTATACGAAACCGTGGATATCAGCAGTAGCCCAGAAGTTAGAGCTAATGCAACAGCAAAGGTAAAAGCCAAGCTATAACTTGTGTAAAGTACAGTAGTTCGTTACTTCAAAAGCAGCAGAAGATTATTTAAAATTCAGAAGGATATTATGTAGATGTCTGGTAAAATGAGTAAGCTTAATGGGTTATTAAAAGGTATAGCAAAAGACTTGTTATTTTTAAGTTTCTTCCGTTTTCATTTTATTCTTGGAGTTTTAAATTTTTCATGCTAGTGTTGGTATCTAGGGAATTAATCTCATTTGTCTTAATATTTAAGTACTTTGAGATAAAAATACTGTTTCAGTCTGATCACTGTGTCTAGCTAAAGGGTCTATATTTAATTTCTTCTAAATGGGAAAATCTTCTTTCTTGCAGGCCACTGTAGCTGCATTTGCTGCTAGTGAGGGTCATTCCCATCCCAGAGTGGTTGAACTACCCAAAACCGAAGAAGGCCTTGGATTCAACATTATGGGAGGCAAAGAACAAAATTCTCCAATCTACATCTCTCGAATTATCCCTGGCGGTATAGCTGATAGGCATGGAGGCCTGAAACGTGGAGACCAGCTGCTCTCTGTAAACGGAGTGGTAGGAACTGGTTTTCACTTTATGTAGCAGTAACTGCTTCTTTCCACTTGGGGGCATACAGAGAATGTGCATGGCACCCAGCGCCCTGTCGGCTTTTAATCTTGGCAAAGTAGTGTCTTTTTGTTCTTGCGCGAACAACTTGCTTAGGTTTCTGTAGAGTTGTGTGCAGTGAGAGTTCTAGGATTATGCTTTCTATCTCAACTGGGAACTGTACTATTTCTGTCAATATTTCATATTCTGAGGGGCTGTATAAATCTAGTCAAAGTACTGTTTTGTGAAATAGTGACTGCCAGTATGGCTTCCTCTTTCATCCAAGTTTCATGATGTGGATTTTAATTAGTATAGTTTTCTGCACCTTCTAAGGTAGGTAGTAAATTACGCTATGTTGCGTTAGACTGACCAGATTTTCATTATCCCAATGCTGTGTAATGAAAGCTGTAATAAGATGGAACTACAAGGTGATCTTATCTTCAGTTGTGTGTTTTTTTTTTTTTCCTTCCACTTAACTGTAATGAGCTTCAAAAACAGGGGCTTTTTAGCATGTTTTAAGGAGTATATGTCTGAAGTGCTGTTGTGGATATTTATTTTTAATAAGGATCCTCTTCTGAAGAGTTATAATACAAAAAACAAAACACAGGGCAACTGGAAAGAGAAGGCTATGGACAGGCTTTGACTTAAGGCAACTGCTAGTCAAATGCATGTAAATATCTTTCAAACCCTTGCTTTTATTTACAGAGAAGCTGTATGCTAGCTTAAAATTAATGTTTTCATAATTGCATCTGCAAGCCCAATTTTATTTTAAGACTGAGGATCAAACTAAATCCTGTGCTCTTTAACCCGAGTGGGGGTTTTTTGGCACATGAAAGGAATGGAGACTTACTGGGTGTCTGTACTCTGGGAAGTCCTTGCTAGCACAGATCTCTGACCTACTTGGCTCCTGACTATTACCTGGGAGTCTCACTGTCCCGTTTCAGGAGATGTAAGAGAAATCATGGCCGTAGTGACACCACCGTCCTTGGCCTAGCCTTCCTGTTCTTTTGAAGCGTTTAGGGGCAGGTGTAGAACGGTCTTCAGATGAGGCCACCCTCACCCACAGACCATCTTAAAGAAAACAAAACCACCACTCTACCCAGAACTGAACCTGATTATCAGACAGTTGGTACAGCTAACAGTGACTGCGTGTGTGTGCATGCACATACATAAATATATATAGCCATTGTAAGAATACAGTGAGTGAGTGCACAGAATACTGTTGAGAATGTTAATGTGGTCTCAGAAGAATCATCTTCTGATGTTTACAGATAAATCCTGTCGTCTTAATACACAGGACAGGCATTTTCTGGTAGTTGTAACTGCTAATTTAATAATTAAAAAAATAATTGCCACTGCCAAGACTGCAGTGGATGTACCTTAAAAACAGGTTGGTTTTTTTCAGCTGGGAGATTTTAAGTCTACTCTAGAATTTTAGATGTTTTGATATAATTGAACTTAGAACTTTACAAACCTTTTATTACCAGATTTAAAGAGAACAACCTACACATCCACTTGAATAACAAAAATGAAAACATTCAAATGTATGTGTTGTCTAAGTCTGATAGAAGAGAAATAACTTGGGTTTTTTTAACTGTTGTCTTTCTTTCTGTAAGTAACTCTATAGTAACGGGGAAACCCTCCAATCAACAGGTACATCACCTGCCTTCTAGCTTCTAATAGCACCAGTGGGAGGTAGGCTTGGGGTAGTCCCATCATTGTGTTTAATAAGTTTGGGAGAAATAAGTTTTGCTGATAAAATGTATGCTGTCCAGGAATGTGTATTTGGATGCAGTTGTTGAGAACTGTTGCTTAAAATTTGTAATTAGATGAATCTAGTATAACCCTAATAAATTCTGAGAGTTGTTTTAGGAAAGGATTTTTATTCTGTTCTTACTCAGTTGGGTTAGGCTATTCTTAATCAGTTTAGAGGAAAGTAAATTGAATACCTTGCATTTACTGAGAGACATGTGGAACACTAAGATAAGCAACACACTGCATGTTAGCTGGTCTGTTGCAGGTGCCCAGTATGCACTGTTTTGCCTTGTCATAATGTAGGATAACATCAAGAAGGCAACTATCTTGCAGTTGTCTGTGGCAACTTGTTAGGCAAATTGAGGGTGACTGCTGAATTTAAAGTGCATGCTGAAAGAAGAAAAACAGTCTTGAATTTTAAATAAATGTCCTCTTAAAGTTGTTGATTTTTAAATGTTATTTCATAATTGCCTAATGTTATCCTTATTTCACTTGCTGTATGTAAATACAGAATTTAATTGTTCAGCGTAAACCTAACCAAATGTTTTGCACTACTCTTTTGTTAATACTAGTTAGTATATTTATCATCACCTCTTACTGATTTCCTGAAGAATAAATCCTGAACTTGGGTGACGTTGTCCTTGTGCAGTCTTCAAACTAGAATATTTCAATATTTGATTATCTAGAAGTTGAACAAAAAGTGGAAAAAAAAATCTATTTTCAGTGTGTGTCTTTACTAATACTATACTTAATGGTTTATGCTTTGCAGAGTGTCGAAGGTGAACACCATGAAAAAGCAGTAGAACTGCTGAAGGCAGCTCAAGGAAAGGTTAAATTAGTTGTGCGATACACACCAAAGGTCCTGGAAGAAATGGAGTCGAGATTCGAAAAAATGAGATCGGCAAAACGCAGGCAGCAAAATTAACATTGTATGCAATAACTTAAAGAGAAAATATATTCCATTTACATTTTATAGTTTGCTTTGTGACTTAGTTGATCCAATGCCTGGGCTACAAAAGCCCGTGTCCTTTTCATATAATCACAGAATGTTGAAGTTGAAGGGACTCCTGGAGATGATCTAGTCCAACCCCCCTGCTCAGAGGAGGGTTAGCTAGAGCAGGTTGCTCAGGACTGCGACAAGCTGGGGTTTTAAGCGTCTCAAAGGATGGAGACTCCAGAAGATCTCTGGGCAACCTGTTCTAGTGTTTTGATCTCCCTTACGCCATGAAGGTCCAATCTATGCTTAAATGGAGCTTCCTGTATTTCCATTTGTGCCCATTGCCTCTTGTCCAGTCACTGGATGCTCCTGAGAAGAGCCTGGCTTGTTTTTTTTACTCCTCCCTATCAGGCATTTACACACATTGGTAGATCACCCCTCAGCCTTCGCTTCTCCAGGCTAGACAATCCCAGTTCTCTCTGCTTCTCCTTGTCCATCAGATGCTCCAATCACTTAATCACCTTTGTGGCCCTTCCCTGGACTCGCTCTTGTATGCCCATGTCTTTATTGAACTGCGGAGCCCAAAACTGGACCCAGCAGTTGAGTTTTGTCTCACCAGGGCTGAGCAGAGGGGAACAATCACCTCCCTCAGCTTGCTGGCGATGCTCTTCCTAATGCAGACCAGGAGACTGCTGAGCTTCTTTGCTGCAAGGGCACACGGTGGCTCACGGTCGGCTTGGTATCATTCTCTGCAAGGTTGCTTGGAGCTGGTCGGCCCCCCAGCCTGTACTGGTGCATGGGGTTATTCCTCCCCAGGTGTAGGACTTTGCACTTTCCTTTGCTGAACTTTGAGAGCCTTGTTTGCCTGTTTCTCCAGCCTGCCGAAATCCCTTTGAGTGGCTCGCTGAGAGTGTGCCCTGTCCTGGTACCCGTGGTGTTAATGAAAATGTTAAGCAGTATGGACCCCAGTGCAGACCCCTGGGGTGCATCAGTAGTGACTGGCACCCAGCAGGACTTTGTGCCAGTCATCACAACCACCCTCGGCAGTTCAGCCGTTTTTAGAATGTTTTCAATCTCCATGTGTTTCACAGATTAAGAGGAATGTGTACTTTCAAAATGGCCTAAGATACCCTGAAAAAGCCTGTATGTTGATATTTCTATTGATTTTTTTAAGTCGTCTCTTTCATGTCAGACTTTTAAGCCTGAAAGTGAATTTACAGATTTTTTTAAAGGCATTTAATAAGACTCACTTGTACAATTGGCATTCCTTTTTTCCTGTTTTCTTTTGGCATTACTTAACATAGAACCTGCAGGTTTTTTTTCTGAACGATTTTGGAAAAAAAGGATTCTTATGTAGCAGTATTTTGGCACTTTTCTTAGAATATGTTGTATATCAACTACAAAACCTAATCATGATCTACTGTGTAGCTGATAATGATACCAGATTTTTTAATGTTTTGGTGAGTACCTTATTTTTACACTTCTGCTAAATTGTAATTCGTTACTCTGGAAATTGTATTACCTCGCCTGTAAATAATTTACAGTTCGTGTTCTCAAATAATGATTTTATAATAGCCGACATTTACAAATTTGCAACAATCATTCCTGTAACTTATATTATTTTGTACTAATTTTAAATCAGTTAAGTGGAAAAAATGTAATTATGTATGCAGTTCTGGATTGACTCCCTAGATGTATTTTTATATTCAGAAACAGAAGATATATGAATGCAGTGCAAAAGAATTCCAGATATTCCTCTGACTTTCTGCTGTTTAAAAGAAATATTCATCTTAATTGTCATACCTCCTTGTGGTTTTAGTATGTTCTATTGTAGTCTTACCTATAGACTGACTGTATTGGTCTTGGAAGAGTTAGTACCTAAATTATTGATTATTACATCTATAAGAGTAAATGGTTCTGAGGATTATATGCCAGGTTACTGTGACATGGGAACTTGTCTGGAGTTTTATTACTGACTGCTTCTGACTTGGAGGATCTTGTTTGTACTACAGAAGTACTACATCACCATTGCTAGAAAACTTTATGTGGAATGGTTCTATGGTGGTAATAAGGAAATCTCCAGCTGTAAGCGATTAATATGTTCTCTGGTGGCATGGTTTTTATATGCCGTTTTGAAGAAAATTTCTGGACAGAGGTCCATGTCTTGGAATCTACCAGGTTTGAGGCTGTACTTGTGTAGTTTAGGTTTTGGGTGTGGGGTTTTTTTGTTTTTT